TGAGCATCTGCCCCCTGGTGGTCAGTGCGCATCACAGTGACTGGCTGACCAGTCGTTCGGTCACTTAGGCTTTTATATATATAGACTAGAGGCCTGGTGCATGGGATTTGTGCACTGGTAAGGGGCATGGCCTACAGGTATCACCGCTCATCCTGGTCTGCCAAGTGGCTGTGGACCCACCCTCTGAAAGGCCTCTCCCTGGTCTGGCATCTTTCATGAAGCTGGAGAACTTGCATCTCCAGAGGACCCAGTTGGGACCAAGCCCAGGGACAATAGCATTGAGAGGCAGCAGAATAGGGCCTCAGTCCCACGGCGGCCACAAATCTGCCTCCCAGCCTCTCGAGTCAGCTCTGCGAGCCTGGTAGCAGCGATGCTACACAGCCTGCGGGCGTCTGGAGGAGGTGGCAGGGAGCGAAGAGGAGGAGCCTGGGGTGAGGAGGTGGTGATCTCAGCCCGAGTTCCTGCCTGTCGGCCTGGGATTCTCAATGGGAGAAGCCACTCATCCTGGTCAACCAAGTAGCTCTCCCATTATGGTAGCACCCTGACCATCGGGGGGCAGCTCCTTCATTGAGCGTCTGCCCCCTGGTGGTCAGTGTGCGTCATAGTGACCAGTCGTTCTGATCGTTCCACCATTTGGTCACTGGGCTTTTATTATACTAGTATAGGATAATACTACCTGCTCTATTTATTTATATGATTTGTAAGTTTTGCTTCATTGACTAGTCTTTTCCTAAGCTGGCTTAAATAAGCAGGTTTATATAACTGTCTGGTCTCAATCACAAACTTAAAACCTGTAGTTATCTTTGCTTAACACTATTTCTTTTTCTTCTCATTTATTAAACAAATACTTATTGAGTGTCAACTATTACCTAATATTATGCTTCCCTTTGAAAATATAAAGATAGATAAAACAGAGTTCCAGGAATGCAAGGTTGGTTCAACATTCTAAAATCAGAGTAGTACACCTTATTAATAAAGAAAAGATTAGTTTAATTGTTCCTATGACTCCTAATGATGTTTAGAAATCTATAAACTGTCTTTATTTCTCTCATGCATTTCTGCTTACTTCTTCGTATATACCAAACAACAATAACAAAAAAGAATCCATACTCATCCTTATTCCTCTCCAAAGTAAAACTGGACTAAACTTTGGATACAAACTATATATTTGTGCTAGGCTCATGGGATAAAGAGGAAATAGTCAATTTACTTCTTAAGATTTATTCTTTTCATTAAACATTATTAAGAATTCATATGCACATACTCTGTTTTAGGCCAATTAAATATACTTTATCTTTTGTGTTCCAAAATTATACCACTTTAAATCAGTAAAACTTTAATCTACATTAATAATAAAGGAATGAAAAAATAAACTACATATAAGCCACAAATATAAAGTAAGCAATTAAGAATTTTGGAAAGTAAAATACAGAGACATTAAAATAGGTTAAAAAATTATTCTAAAACTCCTTTTTTTATCTGGACATGAGAAAAAAAGGAGTAAGTTATCTTCTCTCCTTTTATTATTATAAAAGCATGAATAAGTGACAAGACCTGGGTAGGATACCTAATATCCATGGCTCAAGTCCTTTACTGATATGAAAATTTTTTAAATTTTTGAAGAATGACTACAAATTAATTGCTTTAAGAGCTGAAAATATCACAAATAATGTGAGAAATGAAAAATGAGTCAATATGGTTTATAGAAGAACTGGGGTAGTATAGGGTTAATGAGATGAAAAAGGATATAGAGAGTTTACTCATTAAGCTTCCTCCTCTAAGTGGTATGATGTCTATCTGATTGAATGGAACTATTGTTAGCTTTACTCAAATTAAATGAAGCAATGTAGAGGAGACTTGGAAAAGTAGAAGCACTGTAAAACACATGTTAAGAGATACGCAATACAATAGCTTAATAAAATGGTCTTACATGGCTGTGGCTCCAATATTAAAATGCTAATTGAACCTAAGTTCATCAGATGTAACCAATGTACCACAACTTGGGGATGTTGATAATGCGGAAGGTTATATGCAAACAGGGATAATATATGGGAAATCGCTGTATCTTCTCCCTCAAGTTTGTTGTGAACCTAAAACTGCTCTTTAAAAAAAAAGACTAAAAAAAATATTAGTTGAAGAGGTGTGTTTAGATATGAATATATGCAAAGTTGAACTGGCCAAAGTTACTGATAAGGGGAGAAAAAAAATAATTAATACCATAAATAAGAAATGGCACATATGGGTGATCTGAAAAAGAGAATCTGAAAGTCTTAGATGATTAGATTTGTTTACTGAGTTAGTTAGAATCAGGGAAAAGAACTGATCAGGAATGACAATGACATACAAATTACAGCCGTCCTTTGGTTTCCATGGGAGACTGGCTCCAGACCCCTCCCTTCCCCACATATATCAAAATCCCCAAATGCTCAAGTCCATTATATCAAATGGTGGGGAACAATGCACATAGTCAGCCCTCCTCATTTGTGAATTCCCAACCGCAGACTAAAGGTTTTTCATCCAAGGTTGGTTGAATGCACAGATGCAAACCTGGGGATACAGAGGGCCAACTGTAAGTTTATTGAAAAAATTCTATGTTAAAGAGGACTTGCACAGTTCAAACCCATGTTGTTCAAGGATCGTGTATATGAAAGTTCATTCAGCACTTGATATCATATTTAATTTTTAAAGCACCCGCAATTTTAAAATTTTATAACCAACAAAATCAATAACTTCAGCCTGTTCAATAGTAGAATTTCAAGAAGTGGGGATATCTTAACAGTGTTTAAGGAGCGGAACTCTCCAGTCAGATGGACTTAGTTTAAATCCTAGCTCTAACACTTACAAGCTGCCATGCACAAGTTTTAAATCTCTGTAAGTCCTAATTTCTTCATATTTATTTAAAAAATAATATCTAATTCAAAGTGTTGCTGCCATGAGTGAATACAACTTGGTATATAGTAAGTGTTCTATAAATATTAT